TCGCACTCTGTCAAAATTTCAGATTTAACAGTGTTCAATGTGAAATTTTGATACTGTACACTTGCAGTGTTTTATGTTTCAGGTTGATTTTAATAACTAACATATATTTTGCACTATACTGGTCTTTAAAAATAAAAACTATATATATATATATATATATATATATATATATATATATAACAAATTAGTTTATATAAATAAAAATAAATTTATATTTCGTTTTTTAACATCCATGGTTCACTAGTATTATACCGCCTTCGTCAGAGGTTGTACTATCTATTAAAACATATTTTTTATATCTATATAAAAAAATTGATGTTTCCAAACGCCCTTAATGATAGAAATTTGGCAGATATCCACTTCATTAAAAATTAAAAAAAATGGTTCACTCTTTTTTATTTATAATATTTATTATTATTATTGTTTCACACAAACGGTATATATTTTATAAGTTATAATTTTTATTTAGGCTACTCTGGTCTTGTGACTGGGATGCAAATAAAAAATTAAATTGCTTCATTTTTTCACCCGATATTTCATTGGTTTTCTTCCAATATATTCAGGGGTATCTAAAAGATTTTTTTATTATTTAATAATTATAGTTTTTTACAATGCGAAAAGAATTTTATTACTTTTGATAGTGTATAAATTCAACTGGTACGCAAATAAATAACAACAAAAATAACATATTGTATATACTTTAATTTTAGTATTTGTTTAAAGAGTCCTTATAGTCCTAAGAAGCTATTTAGACCTATTATCTAATTCTGTTACTGTAAAAAACTCAAAACGTTTAGATCCATCTGAAACCTTTAAAAATACTTAAGATCATTTATAAAAAAAAAATGTCTAACTATTTTATATTAATATATGAAAACAATAAAGAACTTTTATATTAAATTATTGTATTTCACTTTATTTCATTATTTTTCTTAATATTAAAATACATTTATTAAAATTATTTACTGCTAAAAATATATATATATAATCAAAAATAGACTTCAATCAGTTAGGAATTTGTGTTAAATACTATTATATTATAACATTAAATATAATCTATTTACATAATTCATACAATATTTAAGCAGTATCAAA